GTATGCGCAATGGGCTGCGTTCCGATATTCACTGCCAGTACTGAAAATCTATAATATATGTGACTTGAACTATATATTTTCAGTACTGGCAGTCAATATGGAACGCACCCATGATCATGTTTGCATGCTCGGCTACGTTCCAATATTTTTTCCGGTATTGCAGGAAACCATGATACTAGTTTCATTCCCGTGGCAGTACTGAGAGAGGTCAGTAGTGAGGGTGCAGTTCCATGGAGCGTACGTATCAAAAATCTGACTAATCGCGAACTTTACAATACTGGATTCGGGGGAACGGCTGAGTATCGAAAATAGTGGACGTCCGCAATTGGTCAGATTTTCGATATGCGTGATCCGCGATACGCGCGATACGCTCCATGGAACAGCACTTTGAGGATAGCGTCCCGATATAGGTGGCAGTGCACTGCGAAAGCATATGTAGAGACCTTTAGAGTGCGTTCCGTTGCACGTATGAACCGCATAAGATGATAGCGCATTACATGAGCATATTGGCTCGTTTCTTTTTTTTCCTGCACATAGAAAAACGAAACTAATGCGCATTGGATTATTGTAAATAAACACGGCAGATGAAATGCCGGCTGATAATAAACTCAATATTTCTATCGGAATTCAATATGGCTATAAAATCTCCTTTATATAACTTTTACGATATTAGCACTTACTGCCAGTTATTACCGCTTAAACTTCGACATCAGTTACGTCGAATATTCACAATTCATTGTCAACATAAACTTACAACTTTTTAAAAGACATCTTACAACTTACATAAACTTACAACTTTTTAAAAGACATCTCGCCTAAGCGCATGGACTACATATGGATTGCACTACTCCAAGAGCTGAGGCAGCTCATGCGTTCTCATGCGCTGCACAGTATGGTAGGGGAAATTGTTTTCATACGCGCGTGAATTGCGCACGGAGTGAAAGGGAACGACCTCATGCATTCTCTATGCGCATCATGCGTGCAACGGAACTTACTTTTAGGCTACGATCATTTAGCGCTACAAAAGCGTCAAAGCATTTGAGTAATCAATCAAAACAAAGAATTTTATGAATTAACAATCAAAAAATGCTTCGAAGCATTTGTTACGTCGTGACGACTGCACGATTCTTCTCTTTCGGGTATCTGTTATTAGAATTTAATTAAGCGGATAAACGAGTGACACATGTTTTGTTACTCTGTTAGATCGCGACGGTTACGCAACTGATCTCTTCCGGAGATCGGTTTCTAGAATTCGGCCAAGCGGATAATCCCTATTATCCTAATCGCGGAAGTACACCGATGTTACATCTTGACGAATGCACGATTCTTCTCTTTTGGATATCAGTTATTAAA